TGAAAACCCTAGAAATGAAGAGAGAGAAAATAGCCACCTCAAACTCTTCATCGTCGGCGGCGGGAACGTCATCCTCGGGTTCTTCTTCGTCGGAATCGACGGGTCTTGCAACAGCCTCGAGCTCTTCATCGTCATCTTCATCGATCTGGTCGTTAACTTGTTCTTCTTCCGACGAATTGGAAGCGTCGTCGGAGGAAGAGCGCTGTTTGGAGGGTTTCGCCATTGGAGAAAAGCTCGGTACTTTTTGACTGCTCCAAGACCGAGGGTTTGGAATTGGAAGAGCAAATTAGGGAAAGTGAGAAAGAAAGAAGGAGACCGACTAAACAAACTATGAGTGGTTTTTTTTTTTTTTTTTTTTTGTTGGATTACAAAATAATAAAATGATGAGTGAGAAAAGTGTAGGAGTATTTAAGGAGTTATTATTTATTTTCATTTTATTGAAAAATAAAAAATTGTAGACAGTGAAAAAATTCCCGCCATTTATCAGTGAAAATATGTCTTCCCGCCTTGTGGGTTGATTTTTTTTTTTTTTTTTTTTTGAAGGAGAGGGGCAAGCCCCTAAAAACGCCTTGTGGATTGATCTGTGCATAATATAATTTGCTTAGGGTGTTGTCAAACGTCGTTCACAAATTACAAGGTGACGCTCGTATTTTTTTATTGAATTTCCTAATTTACCCCTCATATATAAATACTTGGAAAACCGAGTTACGAAACTCACAAGTCATTTCTCAACCCCGACACTTTCTCTCTAAAACTTTCTCTCTCTAAAAAAAAGACAAGAATTTAAAAAAAATCAGAAAAAATAAAAAAAAAAATCAGAAATTTATTTTCAAAAAAAACCAAAAATTTGAAAATCAAACGAAGAACATACGAAAACCAATCAAAGCTTCAATCCGGGTATGGCGGACGGGAGACGCGTTAAGCTTACGTACGGTGGTCGTGGGGGCGGCATTTCCGGCGGCGAGCAGGTTGGTAATCCGTGCTTTGTTACTGTAATTTAAAAAAAATTACGGAAAACCCAGACTTCCGCCTGAAATTTCCGGAAGTTTCCCCAGACTTCCGGAAATTTCAGGCGGAAGTCTGGGTTTTCCTTTTTTTTTTTTTCCTTTTCTTTTGTTTGCTGAAGCTGCTTTTGTTTTTTTTTTATCTTTTTTTTGTTAATTATTTTTTTTCTTTTGGTGAAGCTGTTTTTTTTGTTTGTTTTTTGTTTTTATTTTGTTTGGTGATGTTTAGTTTTTTTTTTATTTTGTAAATTTTTCTTTTGTTTTTTTTTTCTTTTGTTTGGTGATGCTGTTTTTTTTTTTATTTTTAATTTTTATTTTTATTTTGTTTTTTTGTTTTTCTTTTGTTTGGTGAAGCTATTTATATTTTGTTTTGTTTTTTTTTTCTTGGTTTTTACTTTTGTTTGGTGAAGTTGTTGTTTAATTTTATTTTTATTTTTTCTTTTATTCATGATTATTAAATTTTCAATAATCTGTTTTTTTTTCTTTTTTTATTTGGTGATTATTATTGTATTTCATTGATTATTTTTGTGTAATTTAGATCGATTATTATTGTTATGTATTGTTGATATGTTTATTTATTATTTTTTCCATTTATTGTTATTGTTACGTATTGTTGTTATGTTTTATGTATTGTTGTTATTGTTATGTTTGTTTACTTTATTTTTCATTTATAGTTATTGTTATGTATTGTTGTTATGTTTATTTAATTTTTTTTTCATTTATTGTTATTGTTATGTATTGTTGTGATGTTTATTTTTTTTATTGTTGTTATGTTTATTTATTTTTTGTTTTCATTTATTGTTATTGTTATGTAATGTTGTTATGTTTATTTAATTTGTTTTTTCATTTACTGTAATTGTTATGTATTGTTGCTATTATTTTTGAACTGGAATATTAACGATTCAAGGTTGATATCATAGTTGTGTGTGTAAGTATTAATGAAATTATATTTTCTACTTATTTAATGCAGATTGAGGGTTCGGGCGCTCGACATGCAAGATCGAGACGTTTGAATGCATCAGTTAGGAGGGAGTTAGGTGGTGCAGGACCTTCGGAGGCACCGTTTCACCGTGAGCAGCAGTACGGGTCTGCTCGTACTTGGTCGGGGGAGCATCAGTCAGACATGAGCGCCCCCATGTACTCGTCGGGTAGAGTGCCTGTATTTGACGAAGAGGACGATGATGAGTGAGCTAGTCATGCTAGTCGAGATTCAGAGTATGACCCTCAGGATTACCGTACTGTGTATAGGGGTGACCATGGGAGATATGGTAGTAGTAGTGAACCAGGTGAAGGTTCTACCAGCTCGTCTGAGTCATGGGTGGTTCAGGGGCCGATGCCAGGTGGGCCTGAGGATGGTACTGTCATTCCTAGTTTTGGGGGTCACGTGGCTGCATATCTATGGGGTGGCCAGGAGCGAAATGTTCTGCGGTGTTTGAGCAGGACACAGTTGTGTACTGAGTTGGGTAACTAGCGCGCTCGTCTTCCGCAGGAGCACCTGGAACTAATTGATGGCAGTGGTCTATCTCACTTACCCGGGATCATGTTCCAGCGATTTGACTGGCCCCTGATTTCTGCTTTTGTTGAGAGATGGCAGCCAGATACGAACTCGTTTCACATGCCATTTGGGGAGATCACGATCATGCTGCATGACGTGTATCATATTCTAGGGCTCCGTGTCGACGGTTCCATGGTTTCCACCACTCCTAGCACGGACGTTTTACGGGACGTGTGCTCGATTACCTTGGATATGACTACGGAAGAGCTGAATGAGAAGTGCGGTACTAAAATCGTATGGCAGGGAAGTGGGGTGCTTACTGAGAGGATAGTGGAGTCGACCTTGGAGGCGTAGAGGCCCTTCAGTTTCCATTACAGGGCGTACTTGTGGTTAGTTCTTGGCGGATGTTTGTTTCTAGACAAGAGTGGAAACCGTACTTATCCTTCCTTCCTCAACGAGGTTTTTGTTGAGGATGGTCAGATTAGTGACTACTCCTGGGGTTCTGTTGTGCTAGCATACATGTACCGGCAGTTGGGTACAGCGTCACGAAAAGATGCTGATTCTATCGCCGGCTGTCTTACGCTTCTGCAGGCATGGATCTACGAGTACTTCCCGTGTTTTAGGCCTCAGCAGGGGACCTTGACCAGAGAGCTTACTGTTCCGCGTGCGTCCGCCTGGGATGTCGGATCGGGGTGCCCCAACAAGAGCATGGAGCGCCTCCTCGCTTTTTGTGTTAGGTTGGATCATCTGACTGACAATGAGGTGAACTGGCTACCGTACGGAGTTGATCCAGCACGACGCGTGCCTGCTACTCTTTTCATTGGCTGCATCCAGTATCGTAGCATCATTGAGCCATATATGCCTGATCGAGTGGTTCGACAGCTTGGATACGTCTAGGGCATTTCACAAGCCATCATCTGGCCTGAGAAGGCAAAGAGGCCGACGAACTTGAAGATGTATCGAGTTGAATTTCCGTCAGAGATGACTTTGATGATGTGGACTCGGTTTATTCCCGGTATGTCTTTCAGTGTCGTGATAGGTGCCCTGAGCAGACTTGGTGGTGGTGGTCCTACGGTCGGTCCTGGGTACATGCAGTGGCTATACCGGTTTTCTCATCCTCGTGTTTCTCCAGTTGCGTCATCGCATGAGAGTCGCACACTTCCAGAGAGAACTAACACGGATTACGTAAGAACTTGTGTTTCTAGGATGTGTAATTATGATTAGAAAACATGTGATTTATCTAATATGTTGTTTTTTAATTGCAGTGGATGGGTCGGTTCATGGAGGTCATCAACAGGACACTGGAGGAGTATCCGAGCTTGTCGCATGATACAAGAGTAATGGCTGAGGCGCTACGAGCTGACTGGAGGGCGATGATGGGGTTGTAAACTTGATGTTTTTTTGTATTTATTCGTCATGTACTTTAAGGACTGAACAACTGTTTTTGTTTTGTTGTTGAAACTTTGTTTAATTAAATTAATTTCTTGACGAATTACATTTCTACAACTGTTCATCATACATGCGTGTTACATCAATAAGTTCATTGTCTAGTTAACGCATCCCACATGTTCCTTCTAGCTACATAACGGTGATCCCAACCTTCAACACTTGGTTCGTGGTTCTCGGTCCACCAACCAGCAATAGGGGGAAGTGGTGAATCTGGTGCAAGTTCAAGCAATATAAAATGTGAGGCGGAAACTGTAGCGATGACAAACTCCCGTTGTGGTACCGTGACTCCTCTTCGTGCCCGCAACGGCAAGATAGTGAGACATGGGTACAAGCACGTTGGTACGGTGCCTACACCGAGAATAATAACCATTGCGTTGAACCAAGTAGCAATGGAAATAAATCTTGAATTGCAACCATCCAATGACGAGCATCAACCGCCCCACCGTCCCATCGAATACGCTCCACATTTATCTGAAGCCTTCCAAGCCCGTAAATCCTCTCGTACAGGGATGGATAACCAAGGACCTCGTTAGCGATTGTTTCTCGAGCGTCATACCATCGGCCTTGATCACCAAAGAAGAACTCGGCGACACAACGAAAGCCGCAGTTACCATCGCCAATGACATCTTTCCACCCTGTGATGAAAGGCAACATCGGTCCGGGAATCAAGTGTCGATACCGGCTTTGGGTGATGTCTGATTCATCTTCTGCAAATATATAGGGTTCAGTTATTAGTACAAGAACTCATGAAAAACGATTAAACCCACAATACCAAAATCATACCTCCTTGTCGTTGACCAGATTGACTGTTTCGGCGATTCACATGTTCGAAATAAGACCGATCACGTCTTATATCGTTGTTCCTCTGTCGACCACGCACCCTATGGTTGATATGAGGTTCTTGGAGGTTATCATGATCCGGATGTAGCTCTTCCTCAATGATGCGTGTCACATTTCGTAGAACAGCATTATCACTACCAAGTACCTCGTCCATCAGATTTCGAAAATGTGTGGCGTCCTCGGTCGCGTCATTACCGAACGCTGTTCCGTCATTACCATTGCTGATAACCAAAGTCTTCTAGAAACTGGTGAATTTGCCTACTATACAAGCCCGTCTCTCGAGCTAAAGACTCATGTATCTTACAAGCACATGGCAAACCATGGGTCACCCGCAATGCACATCCGCAACGCTCATACACCTGATAACTCAGATCCCTCATCCTTTTCGTCTCCTTGTCGAGAATCTTCAAACAATGCTGAGACACCTTGCCGTTAATACATGACAATGGCAATTGTCGGTACTTCTGACCAATCTTCGACCTAGATGCCTCCAAATCATTACGAATAGCGATGATCTGATTACCAATGTGACAATGAACTCGGGCCCATACGGTATCCAAAGAACCCGCACGTTACCAAAAAAACGTTATTATTTACAACAAACATAAATACAACAAAATACATACATCAAATACAACAACCAAAAAACGAACCTGTCGAAGAATCAAACCACATCTTGACGGCCGAATGCTGGCTCTTAACTCTACATGTGCTTGTGTTGCCAAAATGAAGAACTTGGTTTGTCCAAAATGTCACAAACTTCGTTTTATGACAAAGCCAAGTCCTCTCAACATACTCTATCACCTTTGGATAACTTGCCCATTTCAGTTTCATCGTCTCTACAGCAGCCTCATAATCCTCCTCGGTTGCAGCGTCCATCACACGTTTCCATCTCCCGTTTTTGAATGTCGCACCGACCTTTTTGCTTTTAAACATATCAGTGACACGAGCCTCAACATCTTTGTTAATATGCCATCGACAAAGTAAGTGCGAGGTCCCTGGAAACACTTCCCTCAATGCCGCAACTAGCCCCAGCTCACGATCAGTCAAGAAAACCGACGGTTCCTTATCAAACCCGATCAAGTCTCTCAATCTCTGCAAAACCCATCGATAGTTGGCCGTGCACTCGTTGCGCATGAAGACGTAACCAACGAGGAAATTTTGATTTGTCGGTGTCACACCAACTATCTTAAAGAACGGCATTCCGTATCGGTTGGTCTTGTATGTGGAATCCATACCGATCACATACGGGTACGTCCGTAGGATGTCTACCATGACTGGATGCGCCATGAAGGCGTGCTGTAAAACGCCTTGATCATCAGACAATACCCAGTAGACATACTGACTCTGTCTAGCCAAATGTAGAAACTGAATAACTCCTCTCCCATCTGACATCTCGGTTCTGAAGTCATTTCGGCAGTTGTAGATGTGTCTGATGTTTGGATGATCCTGAGGAAATTGCTCGGCAATAGTCGCCATGATGTTACGCGGTGCTACCTTAGACTTGGTCATGTTACGCACAACCTGCTTCGCTTCCGGGCTTAACTCGCTTATTTTACGATGGCCCTCTGGATACGCAATCATTGGATGGTTGTGAGTCCCAGTTACATCGTTTTTCACTGTGATAAACCAACAGTCGTTGACAAAAATGTAAGATATCTTGATGTAGAAAGGACAATCATTGGCTTTGGTTTTCGTGTCCTTCCTTATTGAGTTCTCAAGATCTCTCGGCTTACTCCTGCGTCCCCTATCACATCTTAAATATCGATATGGTCGACCATCCCTCTATCTGTTGAAAGACGATTTCACCAAAATAAATCCCAAATTTATTGCAACAGCATCCGCCCAACTAACTGCTTCATCAAACGTTCGAAAAACCTTGTCTGTCACGAAATTTGCACTATAATTCACACCGTCACCGCCGTCTTCAACCTCCGAATCCTTTAACAATAAACCAAACAAATGAGCCAAATATTAGTATTATAAATTTAACAATAATACTAATATTTTTATTAATAACAAAAACTATAATAATAATAATAAAAACTATAATAACAAAAATAATAATAATAATAATATAAATAATAATATAAATAATAGTAACAACAATAGTGATAATAATTACAATAACAATAATCATGCTAACAACAACAGTAACAATATTAATAATAATAATAATAATAATAATAATAATAATACCAATAATAAGAATAATAACAATAATAATAGTAACAATAATAATAATAATAATAATAAAAATAAAAATAAAAAAATCGATAATAATAATAATAATAATAATAATCATACTAACAACAACAATAACAATAACAATAATAATAATAATAATAATAATAATAATAATAATAACAAAAACATTAGAAATATAAACATAATTAATAATAATAATAACTAACACAATATAATAATACTCACAAAAAAAATCAGCAAAAATAATATTATGAATTTTGAAAGAATAAAAAAAAAACAAAACAAAACAAGAAAAACCGAATTTATGGACTTCCGCCCATTTTTTCCGGATCCCAGGGGAAGATCCGCCTAAAAAATTCGGAAGATCCTCCTAGGATCCGGAAATTCCAGGCGTGTGTGGGGATCCGCCTAGAATTTCCGGATCCTAGGAGGATCTTCCGGATTTTTTAGGCGGATCTTCCCCTGGGATCCGGAAAATATGGGCGGAAGTCCATAAAAAAAAAAATTTAAAACTACGACTTACAGATTCTTCCGACGACTGCTCCGGCGTACTAAAGTTGTCATCGCTCATCGTGAATAGTGGGCAACAACTTCCACACTCGGGATTTTAAAAATTGGTCGGAATTACCGTACAATGGTGGTCTCGGGTTTTTTTGTGGGTCGGGATTTTTTAAAGACAAGTGGGGGGTCGGGAATAATATTTAACTTTTTACTAGCTAAAGTGAGTCATGGTGGAGCCTTATATGGAAATAAAACACTCAAGGGCAAAATAGTCAATACACATAAAAATGGGAGCGTCACCCTGTAATTTGCGAATGACGAATAGCAGTTCACTTTGCTTAATGCCCTTTTTGGTTGAAAGGATTTAGATGGAAAAGAAAAGAAAGGCTTTTAATCATGTTTTCATGTTTGGTTGAATTAATAACATAAAAATTTGAAGGAAAGGTAGGGAAGTGGGAGGAAAGTTCCTTCACAAATTATTAGCTTTCCTTTCCTTCCAAAATCGAAGGAATTCGATTGGAAAGAGAAAAATAAAAGTTATCCTTTATAAATTTTCTTTCTCATCCCTTCATTTCCTTTTCATTAACCAAATATTGGAAAATAAAAATACATTCCTTTCCCTTCTTTTCCTTTCTTTCCCTTCCCTTCCTTTCTTTTCTTTTCCTTTACTAATATTGAACCAAACAAACCCTAAATATATATAACTTTTTGGCTTGAATATTAAATACGGTCATATAATCACTTTTGACAATGTAGGATATTTGGACATGCGATATCATACTTAAATAATTTTTACTAAACTGAAGTATTTTTATCGGTTAAAACTTATTTTTACTAATTCTCTATTATTTTAAATATATTAGATCTTATTTTAAAGAACTTTTTTAAATAAATTTTATGAAGAACATAGAACCGAGTTATTAGATTTTTATTCAAAGTTATGATTAATTTTGTAAATATGAAATATCAGTAGTGTATCGATAATAAAACTCTTACAACCATTTTATCTTCAAAATTCTATCCAAAATTCAATTATTTAACACCATATATGTCACAATAATACCTATTTGTCATTTACATGCACGACACTTGGCGAAAAACTAGAATGCCAAGTGTCGATGTCTCGTGACCTGGCTGCGAGACCGACTTTATTTATTAGTGATATATATATATATGTATATATATATACTAGTTTTTTACCCGTGCAATACCCGCATTAATTTTAAAATAAAATTTTTTATCAAAAATATTATATGTGTTATTTGAATTTTCTGCTCATGGGATTAATAATCACTTGACAATCATACTTGTCCGTTTATAAGTATTTTATAGATTAATAATTACTTGACAATCTACAAAAATTAGAATTAATAATGCACCACCAAAAAGAACGGTTGTCTAAAGTTGTGATCTCTTTTCATTTTCTCTAAACATGTGAGGAAAGGTTGGTTGCATGTTAAGACTTAAGAGAACGGTTATATATAATAACAGGCTCTTTGATTTTTTTATTTTTTTCTTTTGTACCTCTCTGGATCCGTCATTTATATAGAAATATCGGTATTTTATTGAAAATAAAATTATAAACCAAAAGTTTTATTGAAAATAAACTCTAAAATAATTTTTTATCCTACTAAATCTATCCAAATTTTATTGAAAATAAAACACTAAAATAACTTTTTTATCCTATTGAACCTATCCAATTTTTCTATCCTATTCTACAAAAAATATTCAAATAAATCATACGTGAAATATCGGTATTCGTTTTTTGGTGGCGTGAATAAATATTATATATATATATATATATGTATATATATATATAATCATATTTATTTTACACATGATAACATATTACTCCGTATTAAATTTCATTAATATTGTAGGAAAGAGAGAGAGAGAGAGAGAGAGAGAGAGAGAGAGAGAGAGAGAGAGAGAGAGAGCCCAAAAGGAACAACAAGAAATAATTAAAAGAAAGATGATGGATGGAGGAAAGAAGATTTCAATAGATTAGAAATGTGAATATTTTGGGTTGATTTGAACATATATGTACTAGGTACATGTAAATATTTTAGAAGTATTTTTATATGATATTTTGGGTAGGTTTGATCTGAATGTTTGCATAAATTTTTTATGATATTTTAGAATGAAATATACAAGTAGCATTGTGTTTTAACAACAAATTTTACAATTTCCATTAAGGTAAATCAAAAATTTCAAAAAGTAAAAGAAATGTATTCTAAAGTAAAATGAAAGTATTTAAAAACAAAGTGTGGGTGTGAAATATGTGAATCAAGAAGATATACCGTAGTTAACTTTTTATATATCTTTTAAAGGGTTATTATGAATTACATATTTAACGCATTTTTATGACAAATGTTATACATTGAGTTTAAAAGTTAATAAAATTATTCTTAAAGTAAAAGAAATCAATATAAAAGTAATCGAAAACTATTAAAAATTGGAAAACATGAAATAACACAAGGATGTTACAGAGAAGTCGATTCTGAAGTTAAATCACCATATTATAAATAAAATAATATAAATAAAGATGAATCTACTTATCAAATAAATCAATCTTGAATACAAAACTTAAATAATATTATAAAGTTAATGAAATGAATTATTAAGCTAAAAAGTAATTGGTAAAAGTAAATAAAATAAATAGTATATGAAATCCAGTTTAACAAAAGTTATAAAAAAAAAAAAAATATTCTTTCTTCAATTTGCAATCTATCTTGATCTTCAACAGCTATAATCCATCATGAAAATTCTAAGTACAGTGGTACCTGCACAGAATAAAGAAATATCAGGAAGTAAATCAATAACAAAGAAAAGTAATATAATTAAAACGGAAACAAAAGTAGAATACCTTAAATCCTTTTTGTTTGGACAGTTTCTATATTGTCATGTGAAACACATGATTGCCCACAAGCTCTACAAGTTCTTCACTTTTTAGATTTTTCTTCGGCACTTTTCAAGCATTTCGAGCTTCTAGCAGAACCTTTGTTAAGGTATATATTGATTTGGAGGCAAGATGTTTACATCTACTTTATTGATTCAACCAGAAGCTTAATATTAGCTTCTTTAAAAGTTCCACCATTCATTATTCAAAAAACTAATGTATATTTTTTTGGCATTTCTCTCTAGAATTTGAGAGTATTTCTCACTAAAAGTGAGTTTCTCTAGTTTTTGCTAGGGTTTGTTTTTCCCTTTGAAGATCTCTTGCGTGTTCTGCTAAGTTATAGGATTTCTTATAGGCTTGCTAAGGGGAAGTAGCTCTTCAGTTCCTAGATTCTGAAGGTTTATTCTCCTTTCTATTTCTTCAAAAAGATTAGTTCCTCGTTTTTATGATTTCTCCTCGTTTACCATAAAAGGCATTAAGCTTTTAGTAGCCTTTGGTTCTTTCCGAGATTGCAAAAGCGCAGCCTTTGGGTTTCGCATTTACCTTCTGTTGGGCAGTTAATGCTCTTTGTTCTATTGGTAGAGACTTTTGATAGAGGCGACTATCCCTCTAGGTTTATTCAGTCCCTTTAAGTTTTGGCTCCCCATGCGGGTTTCGGTTCTTCTTCCAAGAACTGGAGTTTGGCTATAAATGCCAAGAGTTAATTGTTGAAGTTCATCTCCTGTCTTTTTTATTCTCTTTCTATCATTTTTCTTCTGCTAGTCTTGTCTTTTCCTCTTCACTTCTACAACTACCAATCCTTTCTTTTGTATCTCTTTTATTCTCCCCTATATTCTCTGTCTCTCTGTTCGCGAATCATGAGCAATAATAGGGAAAACCCTAATGCTCATATCAACCTTAATATACAAAATATGAGGGAGGGCCCCCTTATACAATCCCCCTCAGATTTCAGTATTGATAATGCACCAATTAATTATAACTCAAGCGCAATTGGCTTATTCACTGGGCCTCACCCTCCTTTGGTGCACTTCGTTCAACATATAGTTAACTCTCGATGGATAAGGAGGGGTGAAATTATGGTCCACAGATCGGGGCCTTATTTTCTGTTTGAATGTAATAATAATCATGACTTGGAAGGAATTGTTAAGGCAAGTACAACAATCATAGATGGGAGGGTGATTAACCTAAGAAGGTATCAAGTTGACTTGGTGCCTAACCAAATGAGTTTTAATCTGGCAAGTATTTGGGTGAGGGTTCATGGGCTTCCCTTGGCCTATCTTACTACAGGCTGGGCGAGACAAATCCTCAGGCATGTGGGCTATATAGAGGAAATTGATCAAGAAGGGAATGAACTCCCAGCCCATGCTGAACTTAGGGCTCGTATGCTAATTGATCTTTCTATCCCCCTCATTCCGGGATGTTTTATTCCTTTAGAAGGAAATAGAGTTATTTGGGTGCATTTGCGTTATGAAGGCATTACAGGTTCTGCAAATCATGTTGTTGTGCAGGTCATGCGACCTCTCGTTGCCCCCTCCATGCGGCTGTTGCGAGGAGAAGGGTGAGGAGGAGGCTCAATGAAGTGGAAGCTGATGGAATAAGGGTTCTATATGGGCCTGCTGAGTACCCCTTTTACTCAAACTATATTCGTGGCCTTCCAGACTCTTATAGGTTTCGGAACTCTGGCCTGGACCTGCGCCCTCGAGAAGTTCAAGAAGAACCTTCTCTGTATAGAAGAGTCCAAGGAGAAAATATGGGCTTTGATGAGTATCATCCTTATGTTGAATCTCTTTCTTCCCATGATAGTGAAGATAGTGATGGATTCCACACTGGTGAGGAAGATTTTTCTAAAGATGATTCTGGTTTAGGTGAGGTGGAGGAAGAGCCGGGTAGGCCGGAGCTGAGGCTGTCTCCGGGTAGGCGCTTGGGCTTAGGGGATGATCCGTATGCTGAGTATACGCAAGGAAGAGGCTTGAGCCCTAATCTGGGAAACTTCAATGGAGGGAACTCCCCTCTCATGAGAGAAGACCAGCAGGGGGGAGGAGAGCGAGGGGTAATAGAGAGGAGATCAGGGGGTGTGCTACCAATCAGGCCTCTAGCTAGTAGAGGATCGACGAGCCATACTCTGTGTTCTCTCCCCTCTCAAACTCAACCTATTTTTAAGGGCTCAACTTTTGAAATGGGAGAGTCCTCGGCAACATAGCAAAGAATCAGACAAGGTGGGGGGCCGGGAACTATGTTCCATGCTTTGGGTATTTCTGAGTGGGCTTCTACTCCTTCTGGTCTGGAAAGGGTTACGGGTTTTGTGCAAGATGATAGGGTGGAGCAGGGAGGGAATTTGTTATCACCAATTGTTGAATTTCCATCCCAAGGAGGGGAAGGTTCACCTAACATGGCATTGAAGAGGTTGGATGATGAAGGGCAGCAGGAAGCAAATGATTATGCGAGTATTATGGAAGCAAGTACGATACTATCTTTGGGTATTCGACAGGCAAGAAGGGCAAAAATCCAAGAGCTCAACCGTGTCTCCCGGGCTTCGACCTCTCCTTTTCTTCGCCTATCACCTGCTGATTTAGGGGGGCTTCCGAATCTCCCCCTTACGGAGTTTGACCCTCCGAATAGCCCAATAATCCACATCAGTTCATTTAATTTTACGGAATTATTCAACTACGATGAAGAAGGGTGTAACAAGAAAAGAGTATGGGAGGCAGTAGGCCATCTGCCGCATTCTTGTGATGGGGATTCTATTAGGTATAGTGAGTCGGATTTTGAATGGGTTCAAAGGAAAAGAACTAGGAGGCTTTACAGGTGGTCGGAGAAAGGGGGCTTTTCGATTTGGCTTAAGGATAAAGGAGGAGTTAGTAAGTTTGCTTCCAAGGCAATTTCAGATCCCGATATGGCTCATAAACTTGGAGTGGAGGTTGATGGAGACCTTTGCAGGAGGGGCAAGAACAAAAGACCCCAAGGAAATTCTTCTTCTTCAACTGAGTCCTTTAAACGGCAAAAGAGTGAGGAGGTTACTTCGGTCTTAAGGGAAGTTAGGGACGACATGGATATTGACCTTCAGTTACCTGTTATGAACTTGATGAGGTTATCGTCGGGTGGTGAGGAGGATGCACCAAGTCAGCCCCCAATGGATAGATGAAGGTAGTGGCGTGGAATTGTAGGGGTTTTAATGATCCATACTCGCCTACAATTCCCTACCTAGTATGGATCTTTCAAATGAAGTTACCTACGTTTTTATTTATTTCAGAAACTAAAATGAATTTTGCTTGTGCGGCAGCTAGATTAAGTGCTATTAACCCTACTACCGCTTTTGGGTGGGATTCGGATGGTAGTAGCGGGGGTCTTTTAGTATTAAGTTGGTCTAGTGATAAAGTTGAATGCATGTACTCCTCAAAAAAATTTATCTTTTGTAGAATGATCAATATGAATGGAAGTATGAAATATGTACTTTTCTTTTATGGTGAGCCTCAAGTAGAAAATAGAAAAATCATTTGGGAGAAACTTCAATGGTTTTTAGAAGAGTACAAAAATGTTCTAGTCATAAGAGATTTTAATCAGGTTGAAAGTGGGAGTGATAAGCTAGGGGGCTCGGTCCGAATAAGAGGAGTCGATGCCTTCCTAGATTGGAGGTTCAGCAACAATGTGACAGAAGTCCCTTTTTCGGGGCCACGATTTACTTGGAGTAATAAAAAGGAGGCAGAAGACCTTATTCTAGAAAGGCTTGATCGAGCCTACATTACAGAGGAATGGTTTGCTCATTCCTCGAATGGGAGAATTTTTCATGAACCAATTGTTTGCTCCGATCATGCGGCAATCACTTATCATGATCAGCCTAGTTCTACCACTTCTAATAGACCTTACCAAATTGAGAATTGGTGTCTCAATTTTCCGGAAATCAGAGGAATAGTGGAATGTGTATGGAAGGAGGAGTATCAGGGTTCGTACATGTTCCAACTTTCCAGGAAGCTGGGTAAACTAAGGTCAAACCTTCAACATTGGTGCTTGGAAAATAAGAAGGTTTGGGGAATCAACTGGAAAAAGATTACTAAGGATCTTCAAAGCACAGGGATGAACATAACCTCGCTTAAGGAAGGAGAGGGGTTTGATAAGCATATCAACATGCTTCTGCCTGAAAGCCAATTGTGTTTTCGATTTTGGAAGCAAAGAATGAAGGCGAATTGGGTGAGACTAGGGGATTGCCCAACGCCAACAATGTATAGGAAGGTAAAACAAAGACAATTACACAACGAGATTTTGACGCTGAAGACTGGGAATGACACGTGGGTAGAGGGGCAAAAGGAGGTGGAAGAGTTAATCTTAACCTCAATAAAGGATGTCTACAACCCAGTCTTAAATGATTCTCATGGGGAAGATATCGACCTGTTGCTTAGGCAACTTGATATTCTTGTGCTCAGGGATGAGGATAAAATCTGGCTCGATAGGGATTTTACTGAGGGGGAGATCAAACAGGCTATGTTCAAGATGCACTGTTTTAAATCTCCTGGCCCCGATGGTTTTACCGTGGATTTTTTTAAAACCTACTGGTATGAGGTAGGGCAGCTGGTGATCGATAGTGTAAAACAATTCCTACGTACAGGAAATATGCTCAAAGAATGGAACCAGTCTCTGCTAGTTTTGATTCCAAAAGTTAAGACCCCAGAGCTGGCAAGTCAATTTAGACCTATTAGTTTATGCAACACAATCTACAAATGCATTTCCAAATGCTTGGTTAATAGGCTCAAGCCGATTCTCCCAAGCCTTATTACGGAAAACCAGCATGCTTTTATACCAGGAAGGTATATGGAAGATAATATTCTGTTGAGTCATGAACTTATGCACCTTATTAATTCAAGGAAGGGTTCTAATTTTACAGCAATTAAGATTGATATGTCAAAAGCTTATGATAGAGTGGACTGACTCTTTCTTCTGAAAGTTTTGCAAGCGTTTGGGTTCTCAAATCACTGGATACGGATGATTTCACAGTGTGTCTCAACGGTGAGTTTCAAAACAATTATTAATAGGAAGGCTACTAATCCTTTTGTTCCGAAGTGTGGTTTGAGACAGGGGGACCCCCTCTCCCCGTACCTATTTATTTTCTGTATGGATATCTTGTCAAGAATGTTATCTTTGGCAGAAGATATCAAGCTTATTAAGGGTCTGAAAGTCTCGCGAAGATCCCCTTCGATCTCTCACCTTTTCTTCGCAGATGATGCTATGCTTTTCTTCAAAGCAAATAAAGAATCATGTTTGTGTATAGCGGACATTCTTTCTAGGTTTGGGAAAGCTTCTGGTCAACAATTAAATCTCCAGAAGTCTGTTATAAAGTTTTCTCCGGATATTGCCCCCGTGGAAAAATTAGCTATTAAACAGGTTCTCTCTATTCCAGAAACTGAGAATATGGGGATTCACCTGGGTGCCCCTATTGATATTAGGGGGAAAAAAAGTTCCTCCTTCCAGTTCCTGGTTGACAAAGTGGCGGAAAGAATCATCTCGTGGGCCCCCTTACATCTATCCCAGTCAACAAAGTTAATCCTCATTAATACGGTTTTGGTTGGCATGTCTGCGCATGTTATGAAGTGTATGAAACTTCCCCGGAGCATCGCAAATAAAATTGACTCCCTAATTGCTCGATTCTGGTGGGATGGTAATGTGAATAAGGGGTTGCACTGGGTGAGTAGAAGTCTCATCCAACTTCCGAAGAGTATGGGAGGGCTGGGAATAAGGGGTATCTCGAATCTTAACGACGCTCTTCTTTTCAAGCAAGCGACGAGGATTCACCTAAACCCTCAGCTTCTGTTAGCAAGAGTACATAGAGGGTTTCAACAATGTAGTATATGTCATTTTGCTAGTCCTTATAGAAGACAAGGGAATCCTTCAGTGGGGAGGTCAAGTATACAGAAAGTGGTTCATTCCTTCAAGAAAGGTTTTGCGTGGAAAGTGGGAAATGGAGAAGCATCAGGGCTCTCAGCATGCCGTGGGTTAAAGGGGAAATCCCTCTAGTTAAGGATGGTATTATTCTAAGGGCAGCTTTGAATTGGAAAGTAAGTGATTTCATTAACGGTGATACTTTAACTTGGAATGCAGGAAGGATAAGGGAGTGTTTTGAGTGGAATAGTGCAAAAGCGATCCTGGCAATGGAGCTCCCTCTTTCATCTGAAGAGGATTTCCTCTACTGGAATTATCACCCCTCCGACAAATACACTGTTAAAACTGGGTATTACTACCTATCAAAGGATAGAGGAATGGAAATCACTTCATCTTTGAATAGGGATCTAGAGTTTGTAAAGCTGGTTTGGAGAATGAACATTCAACCGAAGTGGAAAGTTTTCCTGTGGAAGCTGTTTCATGATGGAATAACAGTGAAAGGTAATCTAGCTAGACGAGGGATACAAGTTGAAACTGAGTGTGACTAATGTGGGTTGGCTTTGGAAGATAGCCAACATCTGTTTTGATTTTGTAATTTGGCAAAGGAAGTTTGGGAGGATAGCTCTCTCACCATTTTCCCTGACATTCCTGGGTCCTCTTCTTCTTTGAGGAGATGGATCCAACACTATATCCTGCTCTTTAATAGCGAGGATGGGAAGAATAGTAATTGTAGTGTTTTGTTCATAGCTTCACTATGGAGTATATGGAAAATGAGAAATGCAGTATGCTTTAAAGGGTCCACAGGAACAAGTAGTCTGGTAGCGGAGTCCATAAAGCTTGCAATGGAGGAGCATGAGCTCTTCGGGCAACAAGGAAGTTTAGCAGACGAGAGGGAGGTTGCCAGCAAGGATAATCTTATTATCCCCCCGGGTTTCAACTATGTTCAGCTAGGAAAGGAAAAGCTTGGTTTTGACAATTTCATAGTGGAAGCCGATGGCTCCTGGGATAAGAACACAATGAGATCAGGGGTAGGATGGGCAGTAAAGAATTATATACATGGTGTTGCCAGGGATGAAGGGGGGAAATATGGTACCACAACATCAGTCATCCAATGTGAGGTATGGGCTTGTCTTGAAGCTATGAAGTGGGCTCGGGCTAAAGGGAAACAGGGAATTCTTCTCTTATCTGATTCCATCTCCCTCCTGAATAATTTACAAGATCACCAGGGGAAGGAAATCTCGATTTATTGGCTGCTAAAAGAGTTAAGAATAGTCGGAGCTTCGTTTCAAAGATGCGCAATCTTAAAAGTTAATAGGGATCAGGTTCAACGAGCTAACGACATTGCTAGGAAATGTCGGATAGATTGCACTTCTTTGCTGTAGTTTTACGTTTTGTTTCCTTTGCTTTTGTCAAAAAAAAAAAAAAAAAAAAATTTAAAAGTTCCACCTTCGCCAATTTTCTTTTTCATCATTTCTTCCTCAAATGAAGTCAAATTCTTTACAAGATTAGATAGATCATCCTCATATTTCTCTACTAAACTAACACAGGAGAACATCTTGGACTACACATAAGAGAGTAATGATAAGTGACATTTTATGGGTCTTTTTAGGGTCATTTTCTTATTTAAGTTCTAATAATTTCATTAGCTTTTGCGTTATTCTTCCTATTTTTCCCTTTTGATTTATTTGTTACTTAAATTTGAGTTATTTTGTTATTTTTAATAGTTTAAGCTTATTTTCGTAATTTATTTAAAGTCTTTTATTTTCTATTATTTTTTTTAAGTTTTTAGTTCTTGTTAATAATAATTTTCTAATTTTATTTTTTTTTAATTTTTTTTATTTTTTATTTTTTCGCTTCTCTCTTCCTATTTATTTTCTTTTAGTATCAAGTTAGTTTAATTCATATTATTTATTTGATTTCATTTGATTTTATTCTTTTATTTTACATCCCGATAACCCCCTATGTTTATTTGATTGTTTGGGTGGTCATTCAATGTTCATGGTTCAAGGTTCGAGGCTCGAAATTGAGCATAAGCAATAAAGACTATTGTAATACCCTGGAAATTTCTTTCCTTTAAAATACTCCGTTTACTCTAAATAAAATCCTTTTAGGAAATAACCAAAATATTACCGCCACCATGATAACGGCTAAGGCTAGTTTTCAAAGTCACACAGCGGAAGTCTAAAAATAAAAACCAACTTTTTTTAAAAAATAAAGTTTAAAACTTGAGTTCACAACCTCAAAACAAATGTAGAATAAAACATTCACAAGTTGGAACCAATTCAAACATGAACCTTCTTAAAAACCAATTAAAAACAAACATAATAATGTTAGTCCATAAATAATAACCAATAATTCAATAACATTAAAACTAAGAAACATAACAAGTAACACTCTGCACTCTATCCTATCATGCTCTTCATGCTTCAAGTACCTGTTATGTCTTTTTTATTTCAACTCTCTACACACCATATAAATAGGTCATAGTAGGGCCAATCCAAAGGAAAGCTAAACACAAACATAAAAGTACGAATCAGCAAAGCTGAGTACATATGCACCACACTAACATGAATATCCTAGCATCAAAATAAAAGTAATAATTAAAACATGCTCGCCACACAATCACAAGTCAACTTACCTTTGACTCATAACTAGCAATATTAATTATTAATAATAATTTTGGATTACGCATCGAACGGGTTTCCTTCCTTGAAAATAGCCCATTTAAATATTGAGATTCCAATCAGGGAGCTACCCAAATTGGCACCTACTATGTCACACTTGGTGACGGAATTCCAGCGCATTAATAATAAAAGAAAGTACAGCGTCTTGTACTCCTGTAGAAGTTATGGTTAAAAATAAAACCCCATAACTCCCCCCATATGTTCATACTCAAGGTATATACGTTCCAAGAGTTTTGGTGCATATTCTCTTACACTTTACGTGATTTACCAATTTAACATGTGATGACTCAAATCAATCAGTCAAGAACAAACATAATAACAATCAATACATACTTTCAATTCATTCTTGAATTGATTAGTGAGCACATACTATTTATTTTAATTAAGGTTCCTTGCCTAGTTTTGTGTCGCTGCTCCCGGTGGCTCGCCGGTAGTGGTGTTGGCGCCGGTCGCTGCTGGCGTGAGGGGAGAAGAAGAGGGAGAGAGAGGCGTGGGGAAGGAGAGGAAAAAAAAGAAGAGAAAAGGAGAGGAAAAATAAGGGAAAAGAGGAGAGAGAAAATAAAGAGAAAACCTTGGAATTTTTGTGAAATCTGATAATTATGATTTTAGAGTGAAAAATCTTGAGGTTTTGAAGTATTTATACTACCCTTTCAAAACAAAAACTAATAATTACAAAACTGCCATTACTAAATCCAACTCCCCCTTGACTTCTTCCTTTGAGGCCAACTTGTTAGGCTTTTAAGTGTCCTCAATCCCTAACAAGTTGATCCAACTATTGAAATAAAGATGACCCAGTTTAAAATACTTTTATTGCCTCAATTAATGACTCATATTATTTTATGCACACTTACATAATATTTAAATAATTAATTTCTTTTAAAATGAAATAAATCTTTTTAATTCATAAAATAAATAAAATAAATAATTAATATATATATATATATATAAATAATATAAAAATACGAAGTATTACAACTACTACCTATTCTGCTCCCCAGCTGCTTCCCTTTTGCTGCTCTATCATCTTAACACCAACACCACTCCACTAATTTGACCCCTGCTCCACTACCGCACATCCACCTTCACCAATTCACCTCACCCTCGCAGCACCCCAACAGCCGCACAAACAGCCACGCACCACCTCACACAACCCCTGCTTCTCTACTCACCAATCGCAACACAACCACCAAAATCTCACCTCAAAATAGAACTCCAACTCCCATACTCCAACAAGACCAACACCCGTTCAGCTACAACACTATTGTCTCACCACCTGACCACAACCACCGTCACCCTCCATCTCCAACCTCCACTCAACTCGCTGCCTAAAACACCCCTACTAACCAATCTCAACCTTTTCCAAACACCAGTCCATGCATCACCATAACACCACCACCACCACCAACGTAACCAGCGCTCCCACTGCCTCCTCCTCTACCGGCAGCAGGACGAGCCTCCAACCACCTCCAATTTGAACAGCAATAGCTCCAATTAGCCCACAATATCCCATTTCACTCTAATTTCAGATTAATTACGGAGCGGACTGTCACGTGCTGACTACTTTGCCCTAGTCACGCACCGTGCGCCACTTGCTTACAGTCCGTCGTAAGACAAGTCAGGCTTTCTCCCTTAGCACTATTCTTTGTGCCCACGTAGCACAACCCTTTGTGCTGCTAAAATATATTTGCTAGCACGTCCCCTTGGTGCTAACAAGACCCCTTGGTTGATCTAAGCACTCACCCTTAGTGCCTTAGTCCGAATTTACGACTAAGTATCATAGACAATTGAGCACACAAGCTATCACCCTTGCTAGTATGCCCGATCACTCACTTGGCACCCTCGTGCCTTGGTTTTCCTCACACCATCTAAGTGTTAGAAGGAAAGAGATTGAGTTGCAAGAGAACACAAGTGCTTTTGGAATGCTTTTTGTATTACTCTCAACTTGAATGTACAAATAATCCTTGGAGCCTATTTATAGTGCTCTATCCTACTTACAAGGATTATCTAGAATATTCCTGACCTCCTCAAATGGAGGGTTCTAGACTACACTAATCTAGAGAGTTCCCACCTCCAAAGGAATATACATACAAGGAGGTTTCTACACACTTCCTACCTAGAATTCTAAGGACTACCCTAGAAAATTCTAGATCGTACACTACTTATGTACATACATAGAAGATCCTAGAAACTCCTACTATGTACAAGATGACCCTTGAATATTCTAGAGACATCCCCTCTAGAATACTCCTTCAAAAGAACCCTTTGGTGAAGCCCGGAACATTCTAGAAGCACCTCGCGTTTTCTAGACTACCTGCTGCCAAAACTTGTACTTCAGGACCTCATCTTGGAAAAGCGACACCACCATGGTCTTCCTTGGCCCAAAATACGGTGGACCCCCAAATTTGGGCCCATTTGGACTTCGTTTGGGCCCCCAAATGGCCCATTATTGTGTTATTGTCACTTGGGTGTTCACTAGGTAAAATGGCAACCTGCTAAATAAAGCTCTATAGGGGGAAGTGCTCAGTTGGGCACCAAGGGCAAGCCCCCTAGCTATGATTATGCCCTGTTGCCTAGTGACCCAAATGACGCCTATGGTTGGCAAGGGAGATGGTCCGTGACAGGACGCTCTATAATTCGACGCGGGCGCTCCACACACATTTAATTTTTACAATTGAGGCAGTAAGTTCGGAGCGGACTCTCTAATGGGGGGTGCGACCGCTCAGTTCTATCGAGCTTAATTGTACGGATTAATGAATTTGGACGGTTGAGATTGCTTCAACTAATCCAATGGTGGAGATTTCGTGAACTCGTTGATGATGATGCCAGTTGATGTTAATAAACGATGGTGAAGAGTGATGATGGTTGTTAGAGCTCTGGCAGCGGAAATATGACTTCTACAAGATAATATGAAATCTATACCTCACAAATTAATAACATTTTTGGGATAAACAAACAACCACTGTGAAGGAATATACTTTCTTAATGCTAATAACCTTTTGACGTGAATAATAATTGAATTGTTTATCAACTTACAACCTATGCATTATATAATAACTTAATGCTAAACAATGAATGGTTGAAATTATTTAACTAAAGAAACAACGTAACATGTTGTTTGCAAAATATACTCCTTTCATTTTGCAATCACACTCATTTTCCTCTCCTAGAAAATCTCTCTTTCTCTCACATTTTAGAAGAACAAATTATATGGTTAATAATAGCCATATACTTCCACAATTCTCCACCTCGTTCATAATTTGAAAATTCAAATTTTGGACGAACGAATTTTAGTTATCCGTATCCGGTTGCACCATTTTGACAAGGACTGCCTACGTACCATCGACTAGGATCAAACCAACCGTAGTTCCACTTATTTCTCTATGTTAATACCTAACATGAGATAATGTTAAGTAATTTCAAATAACATTGGAACTTGCTTCCTGACACAACTTTCATTAACATGTCTGCAAGGTTCTCATTTGTATGCACTTTCATAAGAGAAATACTTCCTTTCTGTATGACATCTCGTACAAAGTGATACCTTACATCTATATGTTTGGTACGAGCATGATAAACCTGGTTCTTGGCCAAGTGAATACTACTTTGATTGTCACAATTTAGATTCACACTATCCTGCTTCAATCCCAAATCATCTAGAAGTCCCCGCACCACAATGCTTCCTTAACTCCTTCTGCCAT